AGTAATAAGTAGAGTGCACACAGCACTGTAGTTGATCACACAGATCAGACAATTAGAGAGTAGAAAGGACTGCTTCTTCAACGAGGTGAATACTACAGGTTTATATACAAGTCCAAGGTAGACGATGTCATGTTACAGCTAAACATAGTGAGAGAGAAAGGAAGTACAATACGATGTATCCTACTGGTAGTCCTATAGTAATAGTACATGATGGTGAGATTGATAACACGGTAGTGAGACTGATAACATGATAGTGAGATAGCGGTTGGTAATATGAGAACAATGTTCCATAGATGGTATGTGAGTCATCAAATGTTAACATTACCACCAATTTTACCACTGTAAATTTAGTTCAACTGCTTTCTCTGGCATGGCCACAATCCTCTTGTCTACTACTGAATATTTCAATGCTCATATCCTTGTAATATTATGTACAAACACAACATAGATATTTCTATTATAGACCTTGGTAAGTGTTAGCCACAGTGGTGCAGTGGAAATATTGGATGTTGTGCTGAATCCGGTGTCCAGGATTTATTTACTCATTTATTCTATGACTAATTTTGGATGTTATGGGGGGAAAGGGGGAAAAGGGGGAAAGGGTAAACGCAAAGAAATGAGGAATGAATGAACGAAGACAAGGAACAAAAAAACCCCGCCCGTCAGAAAAGATGCTAAAAACTCAACCAGGTACAGGTGCTCTGTATACGACGCCAGCAGGATTTGAACCTGCGCCCTCAAAGAGGAACAGATATGGTCATATATATGATAACCCGTTGATTCTAATCTGTCGCCGTAACCACTTGGCTATAGCGCCTTGGCTGTTGAGTAAACGATCAATATGAAAACGAGAACGAGTTGCACAGCCACACCCGGTGTCTTCTCTGCTCGTTCCTTGAATTGTATAGCGGCTGAACAGGCGCTTAATTGTAACATGTCTCCTTCTTCCACGACAATCAATAATTTTAATTTGTGCTTGACTTGTCAATAAACCAAACGCCTGGTGCCGCCTGAAATCAACCAAATGAACTATTCCATTATTCTTTCTCTCACAAGCATTGAAAAAAGATCAAGGTATCCCGCTAGCGCGAAATGTGGCGACGGTGGCGTGCTCCTGCGTGCTGGAAATAAAGCTATATATGTATTATACATCTGCAGACACAGTGTTGCTCTTCGACACCCGCTTACTCTAGATGCGATCGCTCGTTCTCACTGTGCTTATACTCAGCAGCATTGGTACTTTGAACGCTGCTCAACTTCGTCAACAACCATTTCGTTTTACAGACCCGTTTGAGGATATTACAACGTCCCACGAGGCGTCGTCGTATACATTCAAATGGCCAATTCATCGAGTGGCAATCATTGGTGCAGGAGCTGGGTATACCCTCTTTGGATTTTTACTTCTTCTTCTTTTCCTCAAACCCATTCTCTTTCTCTACTCCAGCGGCCTCATCGCCTACGACCAATTCTCCCGTTTCAACAACTTCTATGTCCGACTCTTCGAGCGCGACTCAATGCCCGGTGGGAATTGGCATTACACCGCCAACGAAACATCCCCGAATGCACCAGTACCCAATTTCCCTACATCTAAAGCAGATTTCGAGCCGGACTTACCACCAGATGGTGTGAAGTTGCCGTATGAAGAGAGCTTTGAGGGCGTGGAGGAGGAAAGGGTGTTGGAAGTGAAGATTGATCAGAGAGCTCCGAAGCCGATTTGGGAAAGGTTGGGTGCGACTGGACCGAGGGTAGGGGAAATTTGTTTTCATTATTAAACACGCTTATTAAGCGACGCGACACTTTCTAGTCATATCAAGAGGTTTGTTCCTCGATATATTGTCAATAAGTTCTAATCTCGGGCGTAGTTTAGAGCATTACCTTGGCCAGAACAGACCCCCATTGGTACGTCGTTCCTCGTCTACCCTAACAACCACCGACACCGTCTAGATATCAACCGCACCCACCTCCAACGCTACGTCCGCACCTTCGCCTCCTTTCTCTCACTGAACAGTAACGACAACAATCTCGATGTCTCCTATAACACCCGCGTCGAACGCGTCACTAAACGATACAACATCACCACAAGTACTGAAAACGGACAACAAACGAAAACTGAAGCGGGTTGGACACTTCTCCTTCGACAATTCACCCAAACTGGGAACAACTCGTACAAGATTCGTTGGTGGGAGGAAGCGAGTATTGAATTCATGTAGTACTTGTTCATTCCTGTTATTAACCGCCTACACACAGCACTTCGATGCCATTGTAGTTGCCTCCGGACGGTTCAACGCACCCAACACACCTGATATTCCTGGTCTTTCACAATGGGCTAGCCTCTATCCTCATCTCATCTCCCACTCCCGACAATATCGTCGCCCAGAGGAATTTGCCAATCAGTCTGTGTTGGTCATCGGTGGATCGGTCAGCGGAACTGAAATAGCTGAGGAATTGGACGGGGTGGCTGGGAAAGTCATTCTGACCGTTCGGAATAGCGAAGGTATGTACTGATAGCGCCCGAGGTTTTCCTATCTAAATCTCCTTATTTCCCTATATATATAGACTCTGCGCATACTCCCCCCCGGAAAATGCACTTATCCAGAGTCCCGCGAAACGTTTCTATCGTTCCAGAAATCAAATCATTTCATCCCTTCACGGCACCGGGAATCACCTCCGGCAAGGTCGAGCTTTTCAACGGTACCGTACGTCTGTCTCTCTTGGGTTCCGTTAATGCCCAGTAGTAATTTACTGATACACTTTGAAGATATTACACGGATTCGACAGAATTATTTTAGCCACTGGTGAGCTCGTTTAAATCAATATACCCATTTATCTGTATATATTTTCCTCTAATCAAGGATTATAGGATACCGCTATTCATTCCCCTTCCTTCCCCAGTACATCAACACCTCTCTCCGTGCAAATGAAACCATACCGATTCAAGGCACAGACGCCAAGTCAACTCAACGTCAACAACCACTGATAACAGACGGTACCCATATCCGAAGCCTCCATCTTGATATATTCTATATCGAAGAACCGACAATTGGGTTTATCAATAGTAAGTATCCAAGTGCTAGTCTTGTGTTCCGAGTCCCCTTCTAATGCTAATCTCTCCCTCCTCCCCCTCCTTATTCAAAAACAGTGAACACCGGCATCGAAACATTCCTCTACTCCGAATTCACCTCTGCGGCATTATCCAAAGTATGGGCTGGACAAGCTAGACTGCCATCTTCCGATTTCATGTGGGCGAGGCATTGGGAGCGGGTCGGGAAAGGGTACGGACGCACGTTCATGGCATATGGTGTTGAGAAACAAGCTGGTGAGCAGAAGTCATGGGCTTCAGAATATGTTCACCAACCTCATTAATCCTGCTTACTCTAATTTAGCAATAACAAAATACCTGGTCGGGTGGCTTAATCAAGATGCTGTAAAGTACGGTGGATATCAGGTTCGTGAACAATATCCTTCTCCTTTTTGTCAGGCCCAGTCTAATTATCGGTTCCCCTGGGAGGGAAACCAGCTGAACCTACCCTCCGACAACCGATTACAAATTTCGAAACTCTGGGTCGCCGCTCGGTTTCCCAATTATCGTGGTGGTGACGGTTCTAATGGGGAGTGGGAGCCACTAAGTACCGGTGATGGGCTCTTTGCGATTAATAATCTTGGATTCGACTCGAATTCAGAAGGGGAAAGAGACGTCGAGACATGGAGTGTTAGGAGGGATGATTGGTGAATGAGGTCCGAGTTATAACTAGAGGTGAATTGTATAGGATTTTCAAGCCGTAATATTTTTCAAAACCTGCTCATCCCAAATACTGCCAAATGCCACCTATACTTTGGACCACGAGCTCTCATACTTTTCTCCTTTTAAGATCTTATCCAAATTCCCCGTCGATGACTTTATAACTTTCTTCTCCTCCAACCTCTTCCAAAATCCTTCGATGAACCTAAGACTAGGAAGATTAGTAGGACCACCTCCCTGCTGCAAACATGATGTAGCTAAAAGTTCATTCATAGCCCCATCCCCAAAGATATTCTGCATCACATCATGACTGGGAAATCGCGCTACCCCCAGTAATATCCAAGTTTTCGCCCCGATGGAAGCATGTTTCCGCGTAGCATATCTCTCGAGACCATGCCCGTCCGCCGCACGCCGGAAAGTGATTTCGGCATACTGGGAATCACCCAAAGAGATCCACCAATTATCCGGATTAGGTTCCCCCTGTGGATCGTCACGGTCTTGACGCAGGAGCCAAACCTTCAATCGGCGTTGGCTATGTAGGGGGAATCGATGTGAATAAACGACGAGAAGAGCAGTGTATCTTTTGGAAAATACCTACTTGGTATGGTGTATTTCGGAAGGAGGGGCCGAGGCCCAATTACATTGTCACTGCTTTCCAAGTGGGTGCTTGAACTTGAGCCCACATGATTCGCCCCTTCCATTACCTTGTCGAAATGCCCCGTCATTGTCTTTATAACCTTCTTCTCCTCCAGCAACTTCCAGACCCCTTGAATGAACATAAGACTAGGAGAGTCGCCACCACCATGACCTCCCTGCCGGGATCGCGATGCAGCTAAAAGTCTATCGATAGACCCCTTCCCTAGAATATCATGTATCACATTACCACTCGGAAAATATGCTTCTCCCAACAAAATTCAACTCAACGGTCCATCAAGTCGATGTTTCTCCGCCGTGTATTCCTCAAGCTGTCGACTCGGACCAGAGTCTACAGCCCGGAAAGTTACGCCGATATGTTGTTGATCGCCAAACGAAATCCACCATTTATCCGGATCCACCTTTTGCGGGGTATCTTGACGCAGGATCCAGACTTTTACATTGGTATTAACTACAGGTGAGAGAATGTCGGATGAATATAGACTTAGGATGGGATAAAGGTGGGCGGGAGGGGGGAAGGGGGGGGGGAAGGAAAGGCAAGACGTACGTGGAATGTTTTGGAGATCTTGTGCGAGTTCATTGGTAGGAGATACTGGAGCAGCAGCACATATAACATTGGAAAATGCCGTGGAGAGAAGGAGGGATAGGACGATGAATGAGCGCAGCCAGGATGCTGATGATGGTGGTACGAGGAAGAAAGATTTCATTGAATGTATGTGTTATATTGGTGTTGTAAAAACGGGACTACATGGAAGGAAGTACATGGTTCTCAATACCCATTGGTGACGGGAGGAATCGAACAACTTACATAGTAGAACACACACTACGTCGGCAGTCGCTAATAACGGCTGGGATTTACAAAGGGAAATCTGAGTCAAAACTTTGATTTCCCATCTGTGCTTTTGATGTATTGATCTTCCGGCAATGACTTGATTTCTCGGCTCATCATTGATAATCTTTCCCATAGATAATTGATAATCTTTCCCGTAGATAATTGATAATCTTTCCCGTAGATAAT